GTGGAATATGATGTTTCAATTTTGGCAGATTAGGTCGTACTGTGCAGTTCTTTTTGTTTCTGCAAAAATGTCCCCTCTTTAAAGATCCATCCAATTGAAATACCAACACATGTGTAATCAAGCTTTGTTGAACAAGTATGAGTTATGATTTATTGATTGGGTTAGTACGGTAATATCCCTTGATCCTTGGAACCCTAAAACTATACTTTGGATTGAGTAGTTAACTGCTGAAAATGTATTCTTTAACAGCTTAAGAATAGGCTTTTGGTGAAGTAAGTAGTTGGTGAAATATGCACTTTTCAGGCAGCCTAAAATCTGCACTTAGTGGTATTCCATTAATTTGATGAAACTATATTTTTACGAGTCTAAATTCTGGTAGTGTTGCCTCTAATAAACAAGTTGTTTATTGAATGTAGGTTTTGGGTAGTAATTAATGACTTTGAGGCGATATTGTTACACTTGTATCCGGCTAGTAATCCAACTGGTATGTTGATAATTATACTATCAACTGTTATGATTGTTGAGGATTTTTACCATGTATGGAGACTTGACTTGCATCTTTTTAATTGTTATTCACTTACTTCTTTTCGATTTTACCATTATTATACTTCTAATTGTTATTCACTTACTGTTGGAAATATGATGGAAAATATAATTTTAAGGGGATTCATTTATGAGTCCTAAGGATAAATGTATCAAATATGATTTGGAAATAATATATTATACATCAAAGTACAACTCTTACTGATTGGATTATAACTAACAAAATAATCCATAGTTGTAAAGGCGGTAAAGTGATGTATTAATATGATGAATTTTTGTCACCTATAAAATATAAGGTCCCATAGTAAATTATTTTATCTGATAAGGAACAATGTTCAAGTATCATTTAAAATAATTTGAGTTGAGGGATTGCTTGCGTTTTGACAAAAATTGAGACTAGCTGAATCCGAACAGTTTTATTTTTAATAATAAAACAAGACATACGTGGTAGCAAATGTATTCAATTTTGAATTCAAAATTGAAATAAGCTGCTTGAATTTGTCCAGCCGTTATATCCGTAATGGTGCTTAATGTTTTGGATTAGCATTGAAGTCAAGTTTCCGTTTCATGCATTTGATGAACATCAAATTCTGATTTCCGTTGAAGCAATCCCTGCGTGGCTGCCTCTTTAATGTTTAAAAATATATTTATGTATGTAAAGGGGCTAGTCATTTCACGCTTCTGAATGATCTAAGAACCATTCGTACTTAGAAAAGAAAAGAAACAAGTCTATCTCCTACTACTATTATTCTATCTTACGAACATACCTTTTGCTTCTTGATCATTTTGAGTTGCATGCTTTTAATCCGTATTTCTTTTACTCACTAAAAGGAATACATAATATCTGGTCATAGCTTTCATACACGGTTCAAGTTAACTCTATCAATCGGCAAAAATTTGACAACGGTCGAAGGTTTCAGTCAAGGTAGCTACGAGTCTGAAACGTGGTAGGATTATCCTGGGAGCGAGCTAGCCAGATCCGTCCGAATAGCTATCGGGATACGGGGGCTATCTTTCTTCAAGGCCAGTCCGTTTTAACGGGCGATCCTGCGATAAGTTTTCTTATCTTTTCCTTTTTCCATTTTAATTTATTCTAATTATTAGGAGTATTATTTTTATTTTGTTCTTGCATTTGGTGGTTTGTCTGGTGATTTGTATAAACTCGGGATATTTATCAAGTTAAACTCACAATTATAATACTATTTTTCTAACAATCTTGAAGAAAGATAATATTTCTCGAATTTTGGAAAGTCCAAAATGGCAAACTTGGAAAATGCAGTTTCCGAAAATATTGTTGAGAATAATGTGAATGAAATCCCTGAAAATAATGTTAATTCTGTGTCTGTGACTAATTGTGGAGACACACCTGACTATGTTGCTACGGGCTCGCAAAGGGTTTGATTTAACTGGAATGCCAGAAAAATTTTCTGGGCATTTTTTCAAGCGTTGACAACAACGTATGAAAATTTGGTTAATCACCAAGGGCTTGCTCTCGGTAATTATGACGGTGTGCCCCCCCATTGTTGAGTCGGATCCCAAAAGTCTTGAACGCCAAGCTTTATGGCGTGAGAGGGATGAAATTGCAAAAGGCATGATTTTGTTGGGTCTCTCCAACATGTTATTTGATGTCTATTGCACCCTCCATGGCACGGCTAAGGACCTTTGGGATGAATTGGATAGGAAATATAATACTGAGGATCACGGTCTTGAAAAGTATATTGTTTCCAAATTCCTATGATTTGACATGAAAGAAGGTAAATCGGTGTTAGAACAGACACAAGAATTTGAGCTTATCTTACATTCTCTTCGTGAAGCGGATATGGAATTGCCTGAAAAATTTAAAGTGATGGCGGTCATAGAAAAATTTCCCAAATCATGGGAAGATTTTGGTATGACTTTAAAGCATAAAATGAAAAAGATCACTTGGAAATCTTTGATGCATTCCATTACTGTTGAGGAGGAACATAAGAAAGCGGGTTATATTGCGCCTGTTGAATTTCAACCGAAGGCTCATGTTATAACTGGGGGAAAGCAAGCACATAATTCTAAAAATAAACAATCACCATCTTTTACACCCATAAAGGCCAAATTAAAAATTGCAAAGAAACCAAAGGCAAACCGACCATGCTGGAAATGTGGACAGATGGGGCATTGGGCCAAATTATGTCCAAATAAAAAGGCCAAGGCTCAATCTGGGGGACCTCAAGTCAACATGGTGACTGGAGGGACTAGTTCTAATGGGTACGTTTCTATTAATCCTCAAATTTTCACTATTTATAATTCCAATGAGTGGCTAATAGATACAGGAGCGAATGTGCATGTATGTGCTGACAAATCGCTCTTTGTTTCTTATCAGCCTGCGGTTGGAAGAACAGTGATGATGGGAAACACAAGTGCTGCAAGTGTGCAAGGAATTGGAAAAGTAGAAATAAAATTTCCTTCGGGAAAAGTTCTATCTTTGCATGGTGTGCATCACGTTCCCGAAATTAGAAGGAACATTGTTAGTGGTTCCATTCTTGTTAAGGAGGGTTATGAGTTATCCTTTAAATTAAATAAAGTTGTAATTTTATTTGGTGGAATTTTTATTGGCAAGGGTTACTTGTCTGATGGACTTTTTAAGATTGTGGTTGATTATTTTGAATTGAATTATGTATCTGAGAATTGTGATTCTTCTTGTTTATGGCATTGTCGTTTGGGTCACGTTAATTTAGATTCTGTTAAAAGAATGATGAATTTAAATTTAATCCCTAAGCACTCTATAGATAAAACTAAGAAATGTATAGTATGTGCTACTACTAAACAAGTAAGAAAACCTTATCACTCAATTGATAGAAATTCGGAATTACTTGATTTAATTCATACCGACATTTGTGAGTTTAATGGAGTGCTTACTCGTGACCAAAAGAAATACTTTATCACTTTTATTGATGATTATTCTAAATATTGCTATGTGTATCTACTTAAGGGTAAAGATGAAGCTCTTGAAAAATTCTTAATTTTTAAGAATGAAATAGAGAATCAAACTGGCAAGAAAATTAAAAGGTTAAGATCTGATAGGGGAGGAGAGTATACTTCTAATTTAGTTGTACTAGAATGCCAAAAATATGGTATAGTACATGAGGAAACACCTCCTTATTCACCACAATCAAATGGAGTAGCTGAACGGAAAAATAGAACTTTTAAAGATATGATTAACAGTTTATTAGAGAACTCTGGATTACCTAAGTTTATGTGGGGGGAAGCCTTGAATACGGCATGCCATATTCTGAATAGGATTCCTATGAAACATAAAGATAAGTGTCCATTTGAACTCTTGACGGGCAGAAAACCAAGTTTGAAATATTTTAAAGTGTGGGGCTGTCTTGCAAAAGTATTAGTCCCTGAACACAAAAGAAAGAAACTTGGGCCTAAAACTGTTGATGCTATTTTTATTGGATATGTTGAACATTCTTATGCATTGAGATTTTTGGTTATTAAATCTGAAATTTCCGGCATAGATGTTAACACTATTGTAGAGCTTCGTGATGCTACTTTCTTTGAAGATGTTTTTCCAATGAAAACAGGTGTGCCCCAAAATACTTCTTTTAAAAATCAAGAAACCACATTTAATTCAATTCCTGATCAAGTGGAAAAGATGACAAATGTGGGGGTATGACGTACACTTTGTCGTGAGTGCACTCAAAATTTATTCAATACCAACACTTATACGTAGTATAGGTGAAGTAGAGTTCGTATCCACAGGGAAAGGAATAACTTTCTTTTTATATAAATAGTAAGTAAAGGGGGGTTTTGATTGTTGATGTGATTTAATTAAAATTAAACACGAAGATGAACGAGTTATGTGGTTTAATTCAAAGATAAAAGGGACTTGGTATTGCTACTTTCCACTTGTTGATATATTTTAGTCGATCATTGTTATATCTATAACTTATCTCCTCTCGAATACTCAATCGAGGAGTATATCCAATTCATCGAGGATAGTTATTAACAACGACCGTTCATTAATAACCCTTACTATTAGTCAAGTATAGAACAACGCCATATATCGACTTGATAGTAGCATTTAATCTTTTAACTCCTTGATGAAATCAATTGAGATTGATAACCTCAACACAACGGTTTCGGTTTAACCAACAAAATTAATCCCTCTTAAGTTTATTAACCACGACCGTGCATTAATAAACCGAAGTTACTTACTTGTGAAACCATCAACGATTAACCATCGGTTCGTTGATCGTTTCTAGTAATAATTAATATTTGAAACAAAACTAGTTGATCCTTTAAGTAATGTTCAAAAATATTAATATGAAATATGAATAGGAATTAATTAATACTCAAGGAAGAATATTAAGGAAAATGAATCCTACTATAGTTAATATCAAGATGTTAACTAATTGTCATCTTAGTAACACTCCCCAATATTAACATAGAGGAAGGAATAGCTATTACTAAGACCAATGTCAAGATGTTAACTAATTGTCATCTTAGCAACACTCCCCAACATTGATATAGAAATAGTATTTAAGAGAAGCATTAATATTCAAGGAAAGAAGTTAAGAAAATAACTCACAACTTTAATAATCAACAAGCTTCAAGAGCAACACCAAGAAATGGAAGTTTAGCTCCTCATTTGGAGACTAAACATGCTAAAAGAAATATAAAGAAATGCTATTCTAAACTGAGCTTAAGAGTATATAGGAATTGGTATTCTTTAATGAAGGAAAAGTGTGCTATTTATAGGTGTTTTTCAACACCTTTGGCCGAGTACCCGACCGGGTAGAGTATCTACCCGACCGGGTACTGGTCCGAATCAAATATTTTCCATGTTCTAATGTTTTTCAGCACGCCGGGTTGTCTTCGGTCAAGTCTCACCCGACCGGGTGAGGTATAGGGCCCGACCGGGTAGAGTAATTTCCTGGAGACTGCAAATGTTAATTCAAACCCGACCGGGTGAAGGTTTCTACCCGGTCGGGTTTATTCTTCTGGGCAGCATTCTCCTTGTTTTTCTTCCTTTTCCTTGCCAACAATTCTACCAAAACTTCCTAACCCACAAATAAAAGCTAAAAACACTTACAAATAAAAAGTAAACAAATGTTTACAACTACACACAAATGGTAAACAATCCACACAAAACAAGATATAAACATACACATTTATGCACTATTAACTAGTGCATATCAAATACCCCCACACTTGAACTTTTACTCGTCTCGAGTAAAATAAACCATGTCCATGAAGTCTTCAAAACAACAGTATCAGAACAACCACCATAAAGTGTATCTAAAAGCAGAATGATTACAAAAAATATCCCCAACATCAAGAGGTCTTCGAAATCGGTTCTCTCACCAACGAACTCCCTTTCATCATCATCCTTAGGATCCTGCAAAGTCAAAAGAAATAATTTCTCTCATTCTCTCATTTTTGCCTAGGTGCCCTTTCGGGTTTTCATCCCAGCTTCCCACATTTTTCTGTATTAATCCTCACAAACTCACTCTTAATTTTTTTTTTTTGCTTATTTTTGCTTAAGTTGCCCTTGTGGGTTTTCAACTTAACAAGCTTTTTTTTTTTTTTTTTTTTTTTTTTTTTTTTTTTTTTTTTAAGAAAATAAAGAGTGTGAATGTAAGCTTACCAGAACAGTCTCCCCCCAGCTGAGTAATTGCACTGTCCCTAGTGCCCGCCCATACCGCCACCATGGTGTCTGTCCTCATCCATGTGATCACCGCCATAACCACCATCATCGCCTCCACCACCAGAACTCGAGCCTCCAAAATAACCCCATGCAGTAGGATCATACCAAGAGGGTGCGGGAGGAGGAGTGGTCATAGATGCAAATCCACCCTGATGCGCCATATAGGAATAAATAGGACCATAGGTCCTCCGTAGGTCCTCCTCATCTCTCCGGCGGTCTTCCTCATATCTACGCCAGTCTGCCTGCCGCTGCTCCTCCATCCTCTCAAAGCTCTGCCTGTGCTCCGTACGATATAATCCAACTTCATTCCGAAGTTGGGTGTAGTTGTTGTTGAGCATGGCCATGTTATCGAGCATTTGTTGCTCGAAAGGTGTGTAGTGAAAAGCTTGAGGTTGTGGTTGTTCAGGAATTAGTGGGGGTTGTTCGGGTATGATTGGTGGTTCTTCATCATCTTCATTTTGGATGGGTTCTTCATAATGATCCGGGATTGCCCCGGGAAGACAATAGTGATGACCATCCCCGATTTGGTGATCGATGATATCCAGGGGGACGTCGGCCGAGGGTATTTGGAGGTAGATGGAGGTGCGTGGGAGGATGCGCCAATTATAGATTTGTGCCCCGGTTGGTGTTTTGTGAGAGGTTACCAAGTCTAGGGTCTTTGTTACAAGCCATTCAGTGCAAATAAGTTGTCTTGAGGTGATGGGGCCGTGGTCTACAAAACCATATAAAGTGGCTATATGTGTGATGAGGCCCCCCATCACAATTGGTCCTGTTGATGTTGCCACGTTGTAGAAATGGGTCCATAAGATGGTGGCAACATCAACTTGATCCGGGCCAGGCAAAACAGCTTGCGCTAGAACGCACACATCCCAAATCCGTGTGTGATGATTATTTGGTCTTCCGAGAAAACAATTTGAGCAAAATTTTAAGAATAGTCGGAAGACCGGATGTTGCACACGGTTCACGCTCAGCTTAGAAAGATCAACCACAGGTTTTCCTGTCATTCTCTTCCACAACTCATATCCCACAAGAGAATCATATGTACGTGCTTCATCAAATAATGGGAGGCTAAAGTGTTGAGCAAATTCCCTTTTGGTTAATGAACGATTTTCATTTAGTAAACGAAAGGTGATGATGTCATTTGCATGATCATCCACATCTTTCGTATACGCAAACGAGCTAAAAAATTCATACACCAAATGAGGATATGTAACATATTGCATTCCAAATATTCTAGTCATTCCAATTCTCGCAAATATGTCACGCATCACAACATCAATCCACAGTAATGCTAGGGTAGTTAAGCACATGAAACGGGATTGTTTTACCTCCCTCTTTGTTTGGTTGATGAAGCTTTCCCTTTGACCCTCCGTAGCCAAATCCACGTTCTCGTAGCCCGGCACCGGTGGTATAGCTCGGTTACCCCTTGAGGAAGAGCCTTTGGATTTTCTTGGAGCCATTGAACTTGATTTTTTTTTTTTTGGTTTTTTCTTGAGTGATTTTCGGACTTTTGGCTAGGGTGAGTTTTGGAGAGTTTTTATGGGTATGGTTTGGAAGAGAATGGTGAGGAGAACAAGGATTGCTATTGGTTGGGGATTTTGGGCTTGATTTTGGACCTTGAATGCTCAAAAATGGGGATTTTCGGACCTTGAGGTAGGGTTTATGGGTTTGGTTGATTTGGTTGTTTTGGGGGAGATTGATGGGTATAGAGTGGAAGAGGGTGAAGAGGAGATGAAGAAAGTGGTGTTATTTGATGGATTTGGTGGAGAAATGGGATAGTTTCGAAGCTTTTGGAGTGTAAAAATGGGGGATTTTGGGGGTTTGGTTCGTAGGAAGAAGAAGGAAAGTGGGAGGGGAAGAGGTCGCCCGACCTGGTATAGGGGTGTTTTCCCGTTCACCCGGTCGGGTGGGTTAATAGACCCGGTCGGGTCTTCGGGTCCTGCTTATCCAGTAGCTACTGGAATGAATACCCGGCCGGGTGAAATAAAGTACCCGGTCGGGTATTAGTTAATTTTGACTATTTTATTTTATTTTTTTGTCCGGCCGGGTATGTGGTTTGACCCGGGCGGATTCGCAAAGCAGTGGTCTGGTACCAAAAAATTTAGGTACCCGGCCGGGTGGATTGGAGTTACCCGGTCGGGTAGTTTCAATTTTTTTTTTTTTTTTTTTTTTTTTTTTTTGAAACTTTTCTCAAACACACAAATAAATGAAAATGATTGAAATACAAACTTGGGTTGCCTCCCAAGAAGCGCTTGATTTAATGTCGCGGCACGACGTTGTTTTTATTTTATTTTCTCTTTTAAGTGGGATCGTGAACATCCCTTAGTTCATCTCTTTTCTTCAGCCTTTTCCAGTAAGGTCGACCTTTCCTCTTTGTTCCCAACTCAATTAAAACATTTGGTGTTGGTGGTTCAAAAACATTCAAAGAACAAAGAGATTGATCTTTAATTTGTTTTTTCGTAGAGTCAAAGATATTGAACTCTACTTTTTGGTCATTGAACTCTAAAGTTAATGAACCACTAGACACGTCAATTTTTGTTTTTGCGGTTTTTAAGAAGGGTCTTCCCAAAAGGATGGGCGCTGTTTGGTCATCATTCCCCATTTCGAGGACGTAGAAGTCGACAGGAAAAACCATATTCTCTACTTCTACTAGCACATCTTCTAATACGCCCTTCGGGTAGGTACTAGAACGATCTGCTAGTTGAATCACCACACCAGTTTGATGTAGTGGGCCAAGTTGTAGGGATTTATAAACGGAATAAGGAATGACGTTTATAGATGCCCCTAAATCTAGTAAGGCCTTAGGAAATGTGGTGTTTCCTATCGTGCAAGGAATAGTGAACATGCCCGGGTCGCCACATTTTTTTGGAAATTTTTCTTGAAAGATGGCCGAGACATGCTCACTAACTTCAACTTTTTGTTCCCCCTTTAATTTATCTTTTCTTTTCATTATACATAGTTCTTTTAAGAACTTGGCATAACGGGGAACACTTTTGATTAGTTTAAAGAGTGGGATATTTACCTCACAATTCGCGAAGGTCTCATAGATGTCCTGATCACTCTCTAGCTTCCTTGTGTCTTTCAATGCCTCAGGGAATGGAGGGATTGGTTCATATGATGACAACGGAGGAAATTTTGTCTTCGTTGGCTCCTCCTCCTTGTGGTCAACCTCCTCTTTTTCAGCTTCCTTTGTTTGTAATTCCGGGCTACTCCTTAGCATGATGGCATTGACTTGTTGCCTTGGGTTCTGTTCAGTTTGGGAGGGAAGCCTACCCGAATCTCTTGCTTCAAGTCGATTTACAGCATTCGAAATTTGGCTAACTTGAGTTTCCAAATTTTGAATGCTTGACTTTGTTTCTTGTTGAAATTGCACCACGTTTTGTTGTAAGGTGCCCATGGTAGTAGCAAGAGTTCGAATCATGTCTTCCGTAGACATACTCGATTGAGAAGGTGGGTTGGCTTGTTGAGGGTTTCCATACCTTAAGTTTGGATGATCCCTCAATCCGGGATTGTAAGAATTTGAGAACGGGTCATACCTCCTTTGTTGGTGGCTTTGGAAACCCAAAGCGTTGACTTGCTCTGTGGTGTCCTCTTGAAGAGTTGGGCATGAGTCCGTGGGATGCCCGTGTTGTGTACAGATACCGCAGACCTTGACTTCTTGAGTCTTGGATTTTAAAAGGAAATCCTTAACCAAAGAAGTCAAGCCGGTCACTTGACTTGTCAAGCCGTTCACTTGACTTTCCAACGTGTTGTTGGATTCCGCTACCATAACTCTCCGAGTTGAGGACCGCCCGTTATAGTGTCTGGAGTTCTCGGCCAACTCCGAGATGAGATCTCTCGCTTGCGAAGGGGTTTTGTTGACAATGCCCCCTCCACACGCCGCATTCACCATGCGACGATCTTGATCCACAAGACCATCATAGAAGTAGAGGATGAGGTCTTGTTCGGTGTATCCGTGATAGGGGCAACTTGCACATAGCTTCTTGAATCTCTCCCAATATTCATATAGGGATTCATCATCTTTTTGTTCGATGTTGCTTATTTGCTTCTTGAGTGATGATGAAATAGAAGCGGGGTAGTACCTGTCAAGAAAGGCCTTCTTCATTTGTGGCCATGTAGTGATACTTCCTGAAGGAAGATAGAATAGCCAGTCCTTCGCGGTGTCCTTCAAGGAAAATGGGAAGGCTCTCAGTTTGATCTGCTCCTCGGAGACACCATTGGGGCACATGCTTGTGCACACAATGTGGAACTCCGATAAGTGTTTGTTCGGATCCTCCCCTCGTAAGCCATGGAATGACGGAAGGAGATGAATGAGCCCAGACTTTAGCTCAAATGTGACCCCCGTATCAAGAGTTGGAAAAGTGATACAAAGGGGTTGTTGATTAAGATTCGGAGCCGTGAGCTCCCTCAGTGTTCTCGTTTCATGAGCCATAGTGATTGGCTCTTCGGTCTCGCTAGATTGAGAACTAGCACTTGATGATTCCTCCGAAGAAGTATTCGGAAATAAATTCCCAAACCTTTCGAAGGCTTGTTCCGTTTGGGGGGTTGTTTGGTAGATGATTTCGTTTATAGATCGGGTTCTTACCATATACTCAAACAAAGCTCAGAAGAAATAGAAATCTCTATACTTCAACTATATTTTTTTTTTTTTCTTTTTCGTTAAAATGGAATAAAAAGAAAACTAAATTGCCATTCCCCGGCAACGGCGCCAAATTTGACGTACACTTTGTCGTGAGTGCACTCAAAATTTATTCAATACCAACACTTATACGTAGTATAGGTGAAGTAGAGTTCGTATCCACAGGGAAAGGAATAACTTTCTTTTTATATAAATAGTAAGTAAAGGGGGGTTTTGATTGTTGATGTGATTTAATTAAAATTAAACACGAAGATGAACGAGTTATGTGGTTTAATTCAAAGATAAAAGGGACTTGGTATTGCTACTTTCCACTTGTTGATATATTTTAGTCGATCATTGTTATATCTATAACTTATCTCCTCTCGAATACTCAATCGAGGAGTATATCCAATTCATCGAGGATAGTTATTAACAACGACCGTTCATTAATAACCCTTACTATTAGTCAAGTATAGAACAACGCCATATATCGACTTGATAGTAGCATTTAATCTTTTAACTCCTTGATGAAATCAATTGAGATTGATAACCTCAACACAACGGTTTCGGTTTAACCAACAAAATTAATCCCTCTTAAGTTTATTAACCACGACCGTGCATTAATAAACCGAAGTTACTTACTTGTGAAACCATCAACGATTAACCATCGGTTCGTTGATCGTTTCTAGTAATAATTAATATTTGAAACAAAACTAGTTGATCCTTTAAGTAATGTTCAAAAATATTAATATGAAATATGAATAGGAATTAATTAATACTCAAGGAAGAATATTAAGGAAAATGAATCCTACTATAGTTAATATCAAGATGTTAACTAATTGTCATCTTAGTAACACTCCCCAATATTAACATAGAGGAAGGAATAGCTATTACTAAGACCAATGTCAAGATGTTAACTAATTGTCATCTTAGCAACACTCCCCAACATTGATATAGAAATAGTATTTAAGAGAAGCATTAATATTCAAGGAAAGAAGTTAAGAAAATAACTCACAACTTTAATAATCAACAAGCTTCAAGAGCAACACCAAGAAATGGAAGTTTAGCTCCTCATTTGGAGACTAAACATGCTAAAAGAAATATAAAGAAATGCTATTCTAAACTGAGCTTAAGAGTATATAGGAATTGGTATTCTTTAATGAAGGAAAAGTGTGCTATTTATAGGTGTTTTTCAACACCTTTGGCCGAGTACCCGACCGGGTAGAGTATCTACCCGACCGGGTACTGGTCCGAATCAAATATTTTCCATGTTCTAATGTTTTTCAGCACGCCGGGTTGTCTTCGGTCAAGTCTCACCCGACCGGGTGAGGTATAGGGCCCGACCGGGTAGAGTAATTTCCTGGAGACTGCAAATGTTAATTCAAACCCGACCGGGTGAAGGTTTCTACCCGGTCGGGTTTATTCTTCTGGGCAGCATTCTCCTTGTTTTTCTTCCTTTTCCTTGCCAACAATTCTACCAAAACTTCCTAACCCACAAATAAAAGCTAAAAACACTTACAAATAAAAAGTAAACAAATGTTTACAACTACACACAAATGGTAAACAATCCACACAAAACAAGATATAAACATACACATTTATGCACTATTAACTAGTGCATATCAGGGTAGAATATAATCTGGTAGTTCTAGTCATATTGATTTTGAATCAAATGATATAGATGAGCCTAGAAGAAGCAAACGAGCTAGGATCACTAAAGATTTTGGAAGTGATTTTATCACTTACAATATTGAGGGTGATCCAATTTCCTTTAGAGATGCAATGGCCACGTCTGAGGCCATGTATTGGAAGGATGCCATTAAAAGTGAAATGGACTCTATTGTTCAAAACGGAACATGGGAGCTCGTTGACCTTCCTCCTGGTTGTACCACTATTGGATGTAAATGGATTTTTAAAAAGAAGTTAAAACCAGATGGAACCATTGATAAATATAAGGCCAGATTAGTTGCTAAGGGTTACAAACAAAAAGAAGGTATTGATTTTTTCGATACATATGCTCCGGTTGCAAGAATGACCACAATAAGAATGCTTATAGCAGTGGCATCCGTATATGGTCTTAAAATTCATCAAATGGATGTTAAGACAGCTTTTCTTCATGGTGACCTTGAAGAAGAAATTTATATGGATCAGCCTGAGGGATTTGTGGCAAAAGGCAATGAGAGAAAAGTTTGTAAACTAGTTAAGTCTTTATATGGACTTAAGCATGCCCCTAAGCAATGGAACGAAAAATTTGATAAAATAATTTCTTCGTTTGGATTTACTCTTATAGATGCTGATCAAAGTGTTTATTATAAATGTAAAAGTGATGTAAGTATTATTTTATGCCTATATGTTGATGATATATTATTATTTGGCACTAATGATAATATTATTTTTGAGACTAAGTCATTTTTGAAAACAAAGTTTGAAATGAAGGATATGGGGGTGGCGGAAGTAATTCTTGGGCTAAAGTTGAATAGATCAACTGAAGGTATTTCTATTTCCCAGTCTCATTACATTGAAAAATTAATTGAGAAATTTGGATTTAAAAATAGTAGAATTGCTAAAACACCCTATGATCCTTCTGTAGCTTTGTATAAAAATGAAAGTGATGTTCCTGTGTCTCAATTAAAATATTCTCAGATGATTGGTAGCTTGGGTTACTTAGCTAACTGTACTAGACCTGATATTGCATTTTCAGTGTCTAAACTTAGTCGGTACACTTGCTGTCCAAACAGAACTCATTGGGAGGCTTTAGATAGAGTATTCAGATACTTCAAAGGAACTATTTCCTTGGGTATTCATTATGGTAAATATCCTCCTGTTCTTAAAGGATATAGTGATGCAAGCTGGATAGCTAAAAACTCCGGGAGTTATGGGTGTACCGGGTATGTGTTTACGTTTGGTGGTGGGGCTGTTGCTTGGAAGTCCACTAAACAAACTGTACTTTCTCGGTCTACTTTTGAGGCTGAATTATGTGCGTTGGATACTACGGGAATTATGGCTGAATGGTTTAAGGGACTAATGTCCGAGTTACCTATATTCAGCAAGCCAATTCCACCTATTTGTTTGCATTGTGATAGTAAGAGCACAATTGCAAAAATTAGGAGTACCAAGTATAATCAAAAGACTAGGAGACACATTCAAGTTAGATTAAAAACTATAAGGAAATTTGTGTCTCAAGGGGTGTTCGCTGTTGATTTTGTTGGATCCAAAGATAATACAGCGGACTCGTTGACAAAAGGACTTGATTTAAATCAAGTGATAAAATCAAGG